TAATATTAAAAAGTCGACCACAAAAGGACCACACTGCCCTTATATTATTCGATGCTACACGCAACTTGTTACCACCATAATTGTCATTCCCTCCTTCCAAGATAACATCCATTATAATTCTTATTATATAGTTTATTTCTTTAAAAAATCTTTTTATATTAGGTAAAATCTCAAATAATGCAATGAAATGATTATAAAGAGCTAAACGATATTGTTTTCTTAATAATATTTTGAATTCTTGAGAAGAGTCAATTTAAAGTTTAAATCACGCTGTAATTAATCCAATCACGAGAAAGGATTTCAATAGTGGTGACTTTTTTTTTTTTTTTACGTTAAATTATATTTTGCAACTATATATATTTTGGAATTGGTTTTAATTTAGTCGGGCAAATTTGATAGGTTATAATTTGGCCTTCATATTTTAGAAATCTCAATTTTATTATTATAATTTGGTCAAATCAAACATACCATCACGATACGTATTAAAAATGTGATACATTTTTCTGTTTAAGAATTAGTAATAATTTTATATTTTGTATTTGATTGACTTTATAAAATAGTTTTATAAGAATTTAGAGACTGATGGAAAATGAGAAACTACACTAATAAAATTAAAACTAAACCCAAATTATAGTCAAACCGAACGTAGGTTAAATGGTTAAGACATCTATTTCTAAAGGTCATGAGTTCGAACTCCCACCCCACAGGATAGAGAGCAATTTGGTAATATGACATTTATTTCCTTACAGTAAACTAGTCAAATTAATTTAGACCTTGAAGGAAGTGCTGGGTATGAATTAATATTAAGATTAGGTGGAGAAATTGAAGTTTTAACAAACATTTTTTTTAGAGTTTAGTTATAGAGGTTTAAACATCTTAGTCCCAATCTCAATCCTCTATCCTTTTTCAATAACTAAAAAATCTCATGAATCATGATCTTCCATTGCATCTCACATCAATAATTAATAATTATTATTATTAGAACTCTAATATTTAAAAGTGAGGAGTTTTCTGTTTTTTACTATCCAATACATGAAAACAATATTTAAGTGTTGACTTGCGAGTACTTATCTGTTTATACTAATTCAATTGAAAAATAATAATCTATTTTTACATTTATCTCTCTTATTTGTCAAAAATTAACCGTGGTCAGTATAAAATATCACTGGTCATCTTTTCATAAATGAGAAAAACGAGCTGGTTTTTTCTTCGGTACGAAGTGAAGGAGGTAGTATAACAAATGCCTACTTTTCTTACCAAACTATCATAACAATCCCTTCAAGAACAAGTTGGATCTTACAAGGGAAAAGTCCACTGTGCCCTAAAAATGGTGGGGAAATTTTGGTGGTTTTGTTGGGGTTTGGTCCAACGCCCTCTCTTAAAAGCTGCTGTAAATTAATTCCATTTTGAAAATTGGGTTTTTGAATCTTGACTTAATAACCCCAAAAGAACATTAAAAAAAAAAGAAAGTTTAATGGCTATTTAAGAGATAAGTTTGAAAAATGGCCTWGAGATTGTTTTCAAAACGGTTTTCTATTTTTGTTTTTAAATAATTTTGATGAATTGAACTTAATTTCCATTAAAGCCAAGGCTCTTGTTTGGATTGTCAATATCATGGATAATGCATCAAAGATAATGTACCAACTAATCCCACTTCATATCTCATTAATATAATATCTTCTCTTTTACGAAATTGTAACTCAAAATCTGATAGAATTTGATTCTCTTTTCATTGGATTCCAACTTTGCATTAACATTAAAAAAGATATATAAAATATAAAATTGTCTTTGTATCTAAGCCAAAACATAGTTACCGGTGTTATAGTAATTAGTTTAGAAGAAAGCTTTTGAAAACGCAGTGCACCCAGGTAAATAAGGAACGAGATGAATACAGAGGTTAAACGAGCATCCCACACCCAAAAGGTGTCTCACTATCTCTCACGTAGGTTTTCCTAAAAATCCCTAAATCACTCAAGTAAATGATGTAAAAAGATGGTAGATTAGTACATGCTAAAGAAAAATATATCGTATTATTATACACTAAATTTTATAAGGAAATAAGCGAGATCCAATTAGACGATAGGAGACCGGAAAAAAGTCGAGAAGTGGACATGAACCATAAAAGGGGGCACACGAACCAACCCCCGACCGACTAGGCCTCGACGTCGAGACCTCCTCGGCGCCAAGCAGTTCTCGACCCTCGCCGAGAACCCTAACAATTCATCCCGAACCATCCTGCCTCGACTCTCGATTTGACCTTAAGCCCACAATGAAACGAACGGATCCGAAACAAGCATGAAGCCCATTCCGTCTAGATCTCATGAGTGCATTAGGATTCAACTTATGTAAATCCTAAAGGGATTAAGATTCAACCTCTATAAGTGTATAAATAGGAGAATAAATAGGAGAGTAAGCTAAATCCTAAAGATATGCTCACAACACTTCACACTTTATACTCAACTATTTCGATTTTGACTTAAAACATCAGAGGCTGTGTGGCAAGAGCCACACTCATCTTTGGCGCGAATTTGGCGGATCCCAAGAAGCCAAATTTTTGCATCAACACTAAAGAGTATCAAAATAAAAGGAGTCTGCCTCCACATAAGAGGTTGCCTTTGTACTACTCGCAGGTCATATAGATTGAAACCTGAAGCTTTTCTTACTGACTTCACATCGAGAACTACTCTTTAAATAACTAATCATTCGATGATCTACAAGAAAGGTGGCAACATTCAAATGATTAATTATACAATATAAATCATCTTTGTTATTCTAAAAAAATTTAAGCGAAAAGCAAACTCATTTATCATCTCATCTTGTATTTCTTCCAATTAAGACATAACTTTTTTTTTTTTTTTTGGCTCAAACATGGATTTCCAAAAGTGTGTTCATTACCCATGTATGAACCCCAATTCATAATTATGGAAATGGACTCTCTTTTAGGTATCTTAATTTTGGGGGCAACGAATTCAATTAAACGGGCCCACGTGTCGTTGTTCGAGTGGAACCATTTGTCAAATGGGCATTTGATTAATGGGGGAGCTGTCACGTTGCTTTCAAAACATGATACAAATTTGTGGGATATCCTTTTTGATATGTAGTAATGGATAAGAAGGAAAACATTTACGCATCATTCCTACTCATGCAACCTAAAAGAGAATTGAAAATCTCTACGCCAATTTGTAGTTATGTTGATGTGATGTTTCCATCACAATGGTTTGTTTACTCTCTAATTAACTATTTTTGTCATAAAGTATGTTCGAAATTATTTTTAAGAACATATTTGTATATATAACTTGAGAGATTTGATCGGTATAGGACATGTGATTTTGTTTATCGTGTTAATCTCGTAAATTATATGCTACATAAATTCAATATATTTTTCTTTTTTACAAACTATATGAGTCAAATATCCCCGCTGAGAGCTTTGTTTATAAGCAAATATTATCCTTTTTGATTTGTAGCAATGGATAAGAAGGAAAACACTTATGCGCCATTCCTACTCATGCAATCTAAAGAGAATAGAAAATCCACGCCAACTTGTGGTTATGTTGATGGGATGTTTCCATCCCAATGATTTCTCGACTCTCTATTTAGTTATTTTTGACATAAATTATGTTCGAGATTATTTTTAGTAAAACGTATGTTTGGCTTGATAACATATTTGTATAATTTGAGAGGTTTCATCTATATATGATATGTGAGTTTGTTTAACGTGTTAATCTCGTAAATTATATAGATATATACTTTTGAATAATACATACTTTTTAAAATTTTCTTTTACAAACTATACGAGTCAAATATTCCCACTAAGAGCTATGTTTATAATAAAATATTGATTAAATTTTTTTCGATCTAATAAAACTTTTTTTAGAGTATTTTTAAATGTGATTGAGAATTTTATAAACTAAATTTTCATATGTAACTGAGTACCTAAAGAGTGTTTTCTACTGGACAATAACGCTTTTAGAATGAAAAAAACTATAATAATCCACGTGTTGACTCTTTTCCTCTCTTTAGGTGTTCATGCCCTTAATAATAATATTTGACGTAATGTAATTGAACAATAATTGATCGTGTGTATGACTTGTTATTGACGAATGTTTCTTTACAAGTTGGATGAATAAGATGGATGATAGCTCAATTTTAAGATGAAGTAATGGATCACTATGATGATTGAAAATTTTTAATCTTTAAAAAGTTAAGCATTTATCCATATATGGATATGGTTAGTTGAATTTGAGATACCTTATGTGTCACATTCGATGACCAACGTTTTAGATAGACATTATCATTTATTATTATTATTATTTCTTTTGCAACATAATTAATATATTTGAAATTACTTGATGGTAAATATTAAAGACCAGTAAAGTTAAAGTCATGTCGTTATTCGAGAAATATGAGACGAGTATCTACAAAACTATTATTATTTATGTATCTTTCAATGGATCCTCATGTCTTTATATAAATAAAAAATGATTAAAGATTACTAAAGTTAAGGTCGTGTCGTTCTTCGACAAATATGAGATGAGTATCTACGAGACTAATATTTATGCATCTTTCAATGGATGGTCGTGTCTTTATATAAAATTAATATAATAATAAAAAAATGATTTCAAGTTGAGAAATGATAATAATAATAAATAGATAAAAAAAACTCAAATCCCAACCAAATTAATTCTATATGAGAAATTAATATATGTCTAATATTTTCTAATCATGCAACCTAAAAGAGTTGAAAATTTGTACACCAACTTGTGATTCTACTCCTTATTTAGCTGATCGCCATTAAAACATATTCGACAATCTTTTCAAAAAAAGAAAAAAAAATTAACTTAAAAAGAAGAGACTTTTATAACAAGAAATTTGATTTGAATTTGATATGTGAGTTTGTTTATCTTATTAATCTCGTGAACTATAAATATCTATACTTTTTAACACGTGCAACATAAATTCAAATCGAGAATCATGACTCCCAACAACAGAGACATGCACACTCATGGGAAACACATTATTGCCACTTTGAAGTCATTACATTGCTATGAAAAGTAAAAGTATAATGATTATGTATTGTGCCTGAACATTTGTATTCTATTCAAGCATTACAACCTCGACCCTCGACCGATGATCGACTCGTTACATAAGTCCCAAATAAATAAATCTGGGTTTGAATTTGGGATCAAAGTTTTGAACCCAAGAATAGCTTTTCTTTCTATGTACATAGCAAACTTCTTCACTATCTACATTTGACATAAAAATGGTGTTTGGTTTTGGTATTCTTCTCCACTTATTCTCTTGCGAATTCGAACAATACGTGGATCTTCGACCCGATACATCTGCTACTGGCCTGAGTTTGACAAGCGCTTATGCAACTGAAGATGAACTATAATTTGAGAAATCTACCGGTGCATTTGGTGAAACTGAAGAGAAATGTGAGGCATGGTTGAGAATAGTTGCAACCAGCCTCAAGTGCAAGCTTCTTGGTGTTATCAGGATACTGATCTCTTAACCAAAGAAATCCCTTGAGGGTTGCCACCCCATTCTTCAAAAACTACCAATACGTTGCCGCTCGGGTTCAACCAAGCGCGAGGAACATGATACCTGACATTTTACAAGCTTGATCGTTAAGTACGCACCAAGACAATAGGTAAACGAAACTTATAAATCATTGTCTAGAGCACAAGTCTTTTTACCATTTTTGAGAGGGTTCTCCACAGTTCGAATGACATTTCTTCTCGTCAAAGATTCCAGCATAGTTGCATTTGCCACAACTGCCGCGTGCGATGTATGCAGGCCAATGGCGCCCGATGCTCTGACCATTAACCCACATTTGACCTTTACCCATGCTGCTCATATCTAAAGCTAATGGTTCATTGCCTCCCGGGGCATCGAAAGTTGTCTGCAACGCCCGATACTCTTGTTATATCAAAATCCAAAAAGTTTTTAACCATAAAGAAGCTGTAGAAATAGAAGGATGTTCATATGAACTTCTCTTACCTTGTACCATGTGAGGGGTTGTTTTTGAGCCACCAATGAACCTTTCACCCATTCAACAGAACTACTTCCACTAACAGTATGAAGATTTAAGGCTTCTCCCTTCAAGCCAACCTACTCAATAACATTGTAATTGTGATTCTTTAGCTTCATACCGAACTAAAATAAATAACCGAATGCAAAAGAGAGGGTACATTGGTTTGCTAATGTACCTTGTAAGACCATTTATATCCAGACATGTCTCTAGTACCCTCGTTTAGCCCCTTCAACGTGACGGGGCCTAAAATTCCAGTATTCCAAGTCTCATAATGCGGGCCGCCATTCTGACATCAATCAAATTGGAGCATAAGTCGAATTCGGAATCAATAATGATTTTAAAGAAGTATATGGAAATCGGAAACCAAAGAAACTAACCGGGAGACCAACAGCAACACTTAGCATGGAAAGCTTGTTGACTCCTGCCCTTAGATTAACGTATTTACTTAATGTTAATTTAGAATTCTCCATTCCCCCATATACAGTTCCTACATTCATAATATAATAGCACTGTGATGTTAGAATCATTTAGTTCATGTCTGGAGAATCTTCAAGCAAAAATATGTTCATTGTCATGTACCAGCTAGTTGACCATTGATGAAAACATGTAGTGCATGGCCTGCTGAAAAGATGGTGAGAAGAGGCCATTGACCACTCTTTAGGAAGCCTTCATTCGGATCGATCCTTATACTGAGAAAGGTAAACATGGGGCAGAGTAAGATAAAAATGACTTTTTTCATCATTTATCGATAAAAACCTGAAACGTTGAATCTGCAATGAGTGATGAAGTTCTTACTCTGTCATGTACCATAGATAATCTGTTTCATCCCTGGTGATGCTTATTTGCTCCAATAATCCAGCCATGGTTGTTGTATCATCAGCATAAGCAGAGGCAGTTTCTTCATTGTATGAAAGCCACGAAAATGAAGAAATCGGCGTCATCTTAATCTGCGAACTTCGAACCCCAATCTGCAAAGATTAATCTCATCAAATTTTATCCTTTCAACATAAAATTGCTATCCAGACAAAGAAACTTTGGGGGTTTAAGAGTTTTTAAGGTTCCATTAGCCTGCGAAGGTTCAATTAAGTGATTTTGACACTTGTCTTACTTTTGCAGTGTTGAAAAAGGCAGACTTGCAGTCAGGGAGGATGCTGATGGACCAAGGTGGTAGGTCATATTGAGCATTTCCAAAGCTGACTCTTGCAGAAGTTGAGGTGTCATAATTTGCTAGAAAAGCAGCACATGCTCCAGACCTTGTCTTGAAGACATGAGCCTTAAATAGTCATCAAAAAAAGTCGAATTAGACGGTCTTTCAAAAAATATATGCAATGACATTAGCTATTCTTTCATCAGCTACCTCTTGATTGCTTCCCAACGATGTCACTGAGGGATCAACTGAAACTAAAGCAGGCTCGCACAACTTGATGGCTTTGTGCAAATCTCTCAGATGTCCCCATTTTGGTTCCCTTAATAGACCTGTCATATCCAAGAAATATTGTCATGCTAATGGTTACATTTGAGAACCAACTCTTGGAATGTTACTATTTCTACATGCTCACCGTATTCATCGATTGGAGCATCATAGTCATAGCTAGTGGCGATGAAAGGCCCTCCAGCTGTTCGGCCGAAGTTTGTTCCTCCATGGTACTGACATGAGAGAAAATTTTGAAAGAGTTATGGAAATGATTTTCAATGATCAGCCCATGTTAATGAAACACTCTTGATAGTTCATTACCATATAATAATTAACTAATGAACCACCACTTTGTATGAATCTAGCAACTGAAAAGGCCAAGTCTTCAGCTGGCCTGTAAGGAACTGGGCCACCAAACGCTGTGTACCTTTAATATTTCATATATGAGAATAATGTCAATTGTAAAGGAACTCTGTTGACATGTAAGTGAACTTCTAATCCCTTAAGGTCAGAATTTTTTTGTTGCAATTTGATGGATATAGGCAGGATAAGTAACTTACCAACCACTCCAGGCTTCAGTCCAAATTTTGGGTTTATAAATCTGGTTCGGTTTGAAGGTTTCACAGTAAAATCCATTGCAGGTGTCAATCTGAAGCAAAACCAAACCAAGTAGATCGAAGTTTTATGACAAGAGAGTATAGAAGATGAGAAAAAGCTTATCTTAAAGAATCTACTGATTTAGATTATAAAAGAAGTTAATACTTAAACGAAGACGTCTATAAGCTTGTCTGCCCAAGAATCTAAAGCAATTTAACTGATTTAGAAACAAACAAAATAAAACTTCCAAGGACAACTCTAAAAAGAGTAAAAAATAGGGGGGAAAGGAAGAAGAATATTTCTTTTTCACCTCCAAAGAGTTTAAGACAATGAGAAAAAATAAAAAGGACAAATGGGCATGGTGATGAAAATAAGCCCCAAAACAGGAGTTTTATATTTAAAGGCAAGATGGATTCAAGTGTATAAAAGGAAAATCCACCGGTTAAAGCAAAAAGAAACTCAACATCAAGTACCGTTATATGTTGAAATCCCACCAAGAAAAGAGGTAGTCGTATCCACATTAAATGGATATGACTCATGAACACGTAAGGGACCGATATCAAAGTTTTGTATTCTCCTTTGCTTGATCAATGATTACAACAGGTCACACAAACCATGTTAAAAACTTAAAAGTATTGATAAAAGACTAAATTTACGATCACTTAAATTTTTTTGGTTTAGTGGTATTTAACTTCGTATCAGAGTAGGAGGTCCCTTACCATCAAACCTCTGTAATGTTTTATTTCCTTCAATATCAATAACCACTTGTTGGATTTTGTATAAATTTCCATGCCCACATGCGAGGAGAAGTGATGTAGTACTAATAAAAGATTGTTTACATTGGATGGATTTAACAAACAACCTAATACATGTTCCTCAACACAGAATAAATCCCCAGGAGAAAAAGAAACCCATGATAGAAACGGAGGAGAATAGCTTACCACAGGGTCAGGGGCATCTTCTTGCTTGCACATCACCCATGGGACCCCAGTGTCGAGACCTACTGCCATTTGAGCAGCCCATTTGGTGTAGGATTTACTAGGGGCACCAATTCCCGACTCCATTGGTCCATATTCATTCTCGATCTGTCACCCAAAACATAAAAGAAAACAAACTTTCAAATTCATCACTGTTAAATATTTTTTACTGAATGGTCAATTTTCAGGAAACCCAGTTTTGATGAATCCAAGCAAAGCCTTATGTTTATATGTTTGTTGGAAGTTACCTGAGATAGAATAATGGGTCCTCCCTGGCTTTGATATAGCCTCTGCCCCTTCATCATACTGACAATCTTCTCAGTGAATTTTTGCATAGCCGCCTTTATTAAAAGACAATTTGAATCCATTATTTAAGAGTAAATAAACCATAAAATTATTTGCTTCAAGTTCAACAGAGAGAGAGGACTGAAGATGTCCATAGACATTTCAGAATTTTCCTACCTTGAAGGGTCCATTGTCTGTCCTAAAGGCAATCCCAGGAACATACTTTAACCAAACAGGAAATCCACTGAATTATTGAAGTAAGATAATAATAAAAAAAAAGAATCAGAACAGAGCCACATGAAGACAAATTATTAATAAGATATTGTGGTAAATATAACTTTATTTTTACCCGAAGTTCCATTCAGCACAGACATATGGACCAATCCGAAGATGAACATACAAGCCTGCTTGTTGAACCAGCTTCAAAAATCTCACCAAGTCGTATCTATCCTCAAAATAATACTGTAAATTTGCAAAACAAAAGACCAAAAGATCAGTATAATCCAAACCCAAGAAAAGCCAAAAGCCAAAAACAAAATTATTCTCACTCTACCTTGCCAGGAGAAGGCTCATGGCCATTCCAGAAAACATAAGTCTCTATAACATCCAACCCTCCATCTTTGGCCTTCTGTATAAGGTCTGGCCACATCTGCAACCACCACAAAAGTTATTAGAGAGAGAAATAGAAACAACCCGTGATTCACATTGGACGTATTAGAACCTGGGGTGTGCTTCTTGGGTAATGAATGGACCCGGAAATCAAAATTCTTCTCCGGCCATTGATGATGATGGCCTTGTGGTCATAAGTCACGGAAGCCAATCCAGAAGAACAGACCCACAAAAGCAAACCCAAAAACAGCACCAAAGTTCTTGACATTCTGAACATTTTGCAACCCCTCACCACCAATTTCCGATAACATAAAAGAGGGTTGGTGGGTTTCTTTTCTTTTCTCAATCTCTCTATTGGGTTGATTCTTTTGAGGAAGAAAACAGAGAAAACAGAACGGGGGAGGGAAATGCAACGATTGTGATGGAATATTGAGGAGCTCTGATGCTAGAAAGAGCTGTTTTATAAGCAATTCGAAACGTGAGGAAGAGAAATGGATTGGGGCCATGGCACTGTCTTTTTTCAAGGAACTGCCTCTGCCGCGCAATGCCATTTTCAGGAGTCTTTTTAGGCGGACTGAACTACCGCTCAGATGAGATCTGACCTGATTTTTCAAGTAAAAGTTTTTCTAACATTTTGTTTTTTGTTTTTTTGAAATTTTTTTCTAACATTTTGTCAGTAGTAACTGGTAAGTGACAATGCAAAAATTAAACTTGCGACAAGAATTCAAATTCTGTTCATTGTTTTTGGTTTTAATAAATTAAAGGAATTCAGTGAGTATTTTTGTCATATTTGTTTCTAAAATTATTTTTAATTTTAAGATTATGTGATATAAATCGTGAAAATTCTAAAACCAAGTGTTTTAGATTCTAAATTTTAAACTTCAAATTACGAATTTATATTAAAAAATAAAAATTTTGATAAATATATTATTTCATGTCATAAATTTATTTTATTTTTGTTAAAATCAAAATAGGTAAAACATAATATATTAATTATATTATAATATATATGTTAATAAATAAATTAATAATATTTTAGATTCAATTAAATATTTAATCGGTAACTTTCACTAGTCTACCAATATATTACTAAACACATATAGAATAATTTGTAAATTGAGATGTCTACCAATATATTACTAAACACATATAGAATAATTTGTAAATTGAGATGTAATTTCTAAACATGCTAGTCGAAAACATTGAAAATATGAAATACAACTCTAGTTTTCATTTCATCTCTTTTTTTCAAACTACCGACTAAAAACACCCTAGATTTTTTAGCCATTTTCGCATGGGAAAACTTGGATATTAAGTTTTCATCCATGTGAAGAATAAATTATTTAAAGTGAGTGAAAGGTAGGTATGTTTGTTATTTTAAATATTTATTATATTTTTTTAGAAATATTTATCGATGTTTACATTTTACTGATATTTTCATCAATCCTAAAATCGAAGTCTCGACATTTTTCATACATTTAAAATTCCGGGCCTTATTAATTGAAAAATGAAGTATTGAGGATGAATAAATCACCACTCAACCCAAAAGCTTAAACGGGTTGAGTAAATTTAATTCATATACGGGTATCTCACCATGAAAACTAAATCGCATCAGAATTTAGAACAAGAACGATGTTGTAGAAAATGTCGGGATCGTGACCAGAATTCTTGTTGGACTTGGTGTGTTGGGGTTGCAACGTGTGCAAACAAAGTCCCACATTTAGTTAGGGAAAAGAGTGATCAACGAGGACAACTATCTCCATTAGTATGAAGTCTTTTGGGTGAAATCAAAGACAAAGCCGACCATGTCTAAAGCAGATAATAGTGAATATATTATTTTTAACCTAAAAATAATGGAGGTGAACTAAGTAGTACATGACACCAACTAATTTGGATTAGTTGAGCTTAATTTCCATTAAATCCAACGCTCTCGTTTCAATTGTCAACATCATGATAATGCATCCAACTAACTCCACTTTTATCTATCATTAATATAATCTCTTTTCTTTTAGGAAATATAACTCAATATTTGATAGAATTTGATTCTTTTCTCATATTCTAATCTTATGTTAACATTTATAGAAACAAAATTTTTTGGTTAAATTCTCTCCCATCCTAAGAGAATGGCTAATTACACAAGTTCCTTTCTCTTATCTTGTATTTCTTCTTATCAACCACAAATCACAATTATGGAAATGGGCATTTGTTTTAGGTTTCTTAATCTTGGGTGCAATGAATTATCAATGGGCATGTGGTTAATGGGGAATTGCCATGTTGCTTTCAAAACATATAACAAAATTGTGGGATATCGTTTCGACGTCTCCTTTCGAAGCTAGTGTTGCACCCGATTTGGATGATCATCTTCCACTTAAATTTTCATGCATTTCCATAAATCTTTGATTTTATCACGTTAAACTTCATTCTCAAATTGGTCTCCCTCACTATCAGATTCGTACGATTTTAGAGTCAATTTCAACCTGTAATGGATGAATGCGTAAATCATATGCTAGATCTATTCTCTCCCTCAATGCTATTGCTTCCACCAGTTCAACTACACCTGTTAGAGGCAAGGGTTTCTCTAAAGCTACCTCATACATATCGACTCATTTCAAACGGATGCATTTGAATTCAACAAATATGTGTGAGTTCTTCAAGTGCCCTCTACTTTTTTTCTATTTGTAGTAATTTATAAAAAGGAAAGCACTTTTGCATAATTTCTGATGTGAGTTCTTGACGGCCCGTTTGGTAACGTTCTTGTTTCCACAATCCAAGTATGATAAAACAATATTTATATTTATGTTTGGGAACAAATTGGAAATAGAGAAAAAACTTGTTTTGGTTATTTCCAAAATTTTATAAAAATTTTGAGAATGTTCCAAAAAAGGATAAACAAGAAACATAGTTAATTGCAAAATGCTTAAATTTTTTAAAACAATTAGGAAATGAAAAACAAAGAACGAAAACGTTACTTAACGGGCTCTGAGTGTCCTCCATTTTTTTTCTTTTATTTTGGATCTGTTGTAATAGATAAGAATGAAAGCATTCTTTGTCATTCCTACTCATGCACCCTAAAATCTCTAAGCCAACTTGTGGATATGTTCCTTCGCCAAACAAAAAAAAAAAAAAAAAAACCTTGTGGCTAATGTGTTGATATGATGTTTCCATCACAACTTTATTTATTTTCGCCACAAAGAACGTCCGAGAATATTTTCAAAATCGGACTAAAAAGATTAAATTTGTATAACATCGTAGATTTATATGTATTTGATAGGTGAGTTTGTTTATCTTATTAATCTCATAAATTAAATAGATCTATATTTTTGAACACGTGCAATATAAATTATTCAAGTTTTTGTCCGTGTATCCCTATTGAGAGTTATGTGTTTTAGAAAATATTAATTAAATACTTTTTATAGTATTCAAAGATAGTCGGATATCATTTCTAAGATCTTAAAAGTATTTTTAACTAATCAAAAATACTTTTAGTTAGGACTAAAAAAGACTATAATAATCCACATATTGACTCTTTTCCTCTCTTCAGGTATCTGTGCTCTTACTTTATAATAATATTTGACGTAATATCCGTAACCAATCATATTTATGACTTGTCGATGAATCTTTACTCGATTGAATGAGATGGATGATAGCTTAATTGATAGAAAATTTTTAATGTTTAAAAAGTTGATCATTTATCTTTATGAATATGATGAGTACTTGAAGTTGAGATATGTTATGCATCACTTTCAATGACAACTTTTTAGATAGACCTTATCTAGTTTTTTTTTTTCTTCTTCTCTTCCTTTGTTAGCGTTTTTTTGCAACATAATTAATATATGTAAAATGATTTGACGATAAATATTAAACACTAGTAAAGTTTCTTAATATATAAAAGATATTTTAAATATGATCATATGATATAGACACTTTAGCTTATTCACAAGACTATTATTTATTATATCTTTCAATGGGACGACGTTTCTTTATATAATTGCTTAAGGTACATATTACCGATCAAGAGACCGTGGGTTCGAATTTCTACCTCTATGTGAGATATATATTCGCTTAGTGATCTCTATTTAGTTATTTTCACCGTAAGACACATTAAAAAATGTTTTAAAGAAAACATTCGACTTAAAGCACAGGCTTGTATAACTTAAGAAGTTTGATTTGTATTTATTATGTGAATTTGTTTATCTTGTTAATGGATCTATACTTTTTAACATGTGTTACATAAATTCAAGTTGAGAATCATGACCCTCACCAATGGAAGGGAGAAACACTCATGGGAAACACATTTTGTCACTTTGAAGTCATTACGTGAGAATAGTGTTGAGATAATAGAGTCAAATCGAGAAGAAAATCTTTTTTTCTATATGAAAGAGTCTTTTTTTAATTTTTCTTTATCTTATTTAGTTTTGGCTTTTTTTATTATCCAATTTGGTAGATGTGCATAAATATAAAGTCGTGACTAATTCTCTGAAGAGAGAGAGTTTGAGAGCTTAATATTTGTGTATCCATTAGAAAGTTTGAAAGACTTGTAGAATGATTCGTGAGTTTTTTCTATGTTTGGAAAAACTGAGAGAAATCATTATAAAGAGCTTGTAAACTCTAGGGAGATTCTTCTTTAGCAGAGAACTGGACGTAATCCACGGTGAACCAGTATAAATCTTAAGTTTAATTTTTCTCCTCCCTATCTTTATTTATCGTTCTTGTTACTTAAAAGCTTTAGTTTGATTGTAAACAGGAACCAAAAACTTATCTGACATTAGCTAACAAATATTGTCTATATTTGTGATTGAGATAATTATGAGTTGACTGCATTTTTCACACCAAATAGAAAGTAAAAGTACAGTGATTATTGAGTGTGCAAGAACATTTGTATTCTATTCAAACATTACAACCTTGATCAATGACTGAATCTCTTTACATAAGCCCCAAATAAATAAATTTGGGTTTGAATATGGGAATCAAAGTTCTGAACCCAAGAATAGCTTTTCTTTCTATGTACATAGCAAACTTCTTCACTATCTACATTTGGCATAACAATGGTATTTGGTTTTGGTATTCTTCTCCACTTATTCTCTTGATGTTTGATCCAAGAAGCCCACTACTGGTCTCCTTGGCAAGCACTTTATGCAACTGGGGATGAACTATACTATGAGAAATCATAGGTGTATTTGGTGAACCTAAAGAGAAATTTAAGACATGATTGAGTTCAGTTGTAGACAGCCTCAAGTGAAAGTTTCTTGGTGTTATCAGAACACAGATCTCTTGACCAAAGAAATCCCATCAGGATTTCCACCCCATTCTTCAAAAACAACTAATACGTTGCCGCTCGGGTTCAACCAAGCGCCGGGAACGTGATACCTGAAATTTTAAAAGCTTTCTTGTTAAGCATGCACCAAGACAATAGGTAGACGAAACATATAGATCGTTTTTTTACCATCTCTGAGAGGGTTCTCCACAGTTA